AGCAAACACTCAAATAATCTTCCTTCTATAACTGCACGTTAACTTAAAACCACAATAGGTTTATTCACACAAGTTCCACCCAGAACAGCAACAGAGAAATACAGACATGAATCCCACTGGCCCCATGCACCATGGCTGCCACGAGTGGCCCTTCTCCCACCATCACCCATTCAGCTCCAAGATCACTGCAGTGTGTGCAAGGAAAGAAGTGGTGCCAAACCTGCACACAGCCTTAGCATGGCAATACCCTGCGAGCGTTTTCATTGTCACTGTAGCTTCCTTCACACACACAACTCAAAACTAGGCTTTGATGATGGTCTGACACTTGTGAGTGCTGCTGCACACAGCACAGCAGAGCATGGAAAACAAAAGAAGTGGTAAGATCTCAGTGTTATACTTGGAACAAGTTAAAGCTCAAAGTAAACCTGGAAAAATCCCATCTTGTTCTGTTTTTGCACAGTTCTGCTCTATCCAAGCACAGCAAACCTCACAGGCATGTTGCCATGCGGAGCGGCCTCGGCTCCAAATCTCCCATCCTCCTGCATGCAGCCAGGACCCTCGAGTCTCTGGGAGGGGATGGAAGCTATCCACACGCTTCCAGATGCTCTGAGACACATTCTCATGGATCAAGCAGCCAGATAAGCAGCGCAAGTGCAATCTGCAAGATGGAAAAATGCGTTTTACCAGTCTTCCATTCACATCTTTGCAAGCATAGTGCAAGGTGGGATGTGCTGAGCAGAGCATGGGAGAGCAAGCCCTAGGTGCTGCTGGATGCAGACTAAGCCAACACTCTGGCACAGGAAGAAACAAAATGCTGGGGAGGCACTCAGGCTGTCATCACATAAATCTTGCAAACACAACAGTGGTTGTTACCGGGCTTAAACAATGAAACGGAAAGAAAAGTCTCCACTAAGACATAATATAAAAACTAAATAAGGCTACAAAAAAAAAAGCTTTGCTCTTCCTCAACATGAAGTACTTGGCTTGGTACCACATCTTGCCTCAGGTTTTTCAACACCTTGTGCCATGTGCCGTGGTGGGAGGTCACTCAGCAGCCCTAGCCAGCTGCCAGAGGGCTGGAGGTGGCCAAAACCCAACATTTGGGAGAAACTGAAACCTCTTGAAATCTGGTTTCACTCTGATTTACAAGAACACTAACATTTGCAAACTTTCTCGTGACACAGAAAGATTTTCCCATCTAAAAAAGTATCTGGTAAGCATCAGTATGATGCATTCCTGCAATCAGCTATTCCCTCCACAAAGCCCAGTAGTTCTGAATTAAATCAAGATGAAAAACCACAGCAAAATTGTCAACTAATTTCTACCCCCATCCCAGAAAAACCCTCAGCCTGGTTAAAACCAGAGCAGGGGCTTTGGGGAACTGATACAGGCTAGGAGGGAGCTCAGCGCCCTCTCTGCATGACGCCACAGGCCTGTAGGTGACACCAGCTGCTGGCCAGAGTCCCTTCAGCAGGGCCCAGGCACTGGCTCTCTGCATCTAACCCACTGCAACATTTCTGGTGGTCCCAGCAAGCTGCTGGCTGCCTTCCACCTGCCACCTTCCTCTGGGAAAGTACAGTGTACCCAGTGTGCTGGGAAGCCCTGGGAAAGAGGGTATAGACACGGAGAAATTCCGTGTTCAACCCACAACACAAGGTTTCCTAATGCTCATTTACTTCCTCCCTCCCCCATCTCAGAGACCTTTATGGGTTTTCCCCAAAGCCTGGTCTGAAGGAAGCAGCTCTTTGTGCCATTACTAATACATGTGGTTACTCTCTGAAGATGTGTCAACCTAACATGACCAACAAATGCGGGAGGAAGAGGAACGCAACCAAAATCTGCTTGTTTGTACCCACTGCCAGACTGAAAACAAAGCTTCCAGCTTCCGGGTTGGCTAAAACACGCTCCCTTTGTGCCCACTGGTATCACATTGCTTGTATCATCCTGGGAGGTTCCTTGAGCGTAATCTCCTTTGTTTGTTTGAACTGAGAATCCCGGGGGTGTTTTAAGCCAATTCTGGTAAATCAAAAGCAAAAACAAAAACCACCCTTCCACTCCAAGCATGCATCCAAAGAGTAACAAGGGAACAAGATGGCTCATACCCTCTCTAGCCATGGCCAGGAGGCACGTAGCCCATGTTCTGCATAGTGTAGCTGAGGAAGGCAGGCGACAAGTGCAAGGAGAAAGCAAGGATAACAGTTATCATGGCCTGGCTGCTCTAACTCTGATATATGTTCACTCCAGTTTTTAGCACATAAGTGTGGAGGAGCCTGGGGACTCTATAGCTGCATCGGGCACCCCAGCCCTCAGAACTGCCCCTCTGGGTTGCCCCACTACCTCTGCCATTTGGCAGAGAATGCTGCTGAGCAGGGCTCATTCCTGCCCCCGTCGCTTGTTGGGATCCATCTGGGCCCACCTCCAGGTCTGGGAGACAAGCATCTGCCTGGTACCAACTGCAACAGCTGAGCCAACCTGCTCCTGCCTGCTCAGCACAACACTCCGATGCCAAGATGAGATTCGAGACGATTCCAATTAGGGAAGTGGGGCTGTCACCATTTCAGCTGCACAAGCAAGATGAGACAACTCCCAGTGTCACCAAGTGCCTGCAGGAACGCATTTACAAATCTAATCACCTCCCAGCACAGTCGGGCTGCCAGTGCCTGGGGAGGGCGGCAGGGGAGAAGAAAGATTTGGAGACTCTTCAGGAATATTAATTCACACTAATAGAAATCGGATCTGCCCTTGCCTGCAATCAGCAGAACTGAGATTCTGCACCGGAATATTAATGCCAGTGCTCTGTGGGAGATGGAGCCCTCTCAAAGCCCCCTTCAAATTATCAGAATTAAACATCAAAAAGAGCAGCACAGCAAACTGCAATGCAGGTTTGGCAGAGGAAGCAGTGTGTTGGAGGAGGAAGTGAAGGTCACCGAAGGTGCCGCTGCCTCCTGCTGGGTGCCCAGCCCCATGCTGACCACTGCCCAATGCACCAACCCTTCCTGCTCAGCACCCAACCCAGCTGTGAGCCCTGCCTCTCCTCCAACACATAGTGCAACCGAGCTCTCAGTCCTGGGCTGATCAGGTGCATTCTGCACACATACTGAAACTGACCTCATGGCAGTGGAAAAAAATAGCTTTGCTACATGAGTGTTTTGTTATTCTGTTGGAATAGTTGTATATGGGGGGAAGTAAAGACCTCCTACACTTCATTTCAAAGAGGCACTAAAAACACAGGGTGCATCAAGCTTAACTGACCAAAAGCAAAGCTCCTGTGTAATGCTTAGGGAGCCTGGTGGCACTGCAGGGAGCCTGCCACATATGTGGCTGATGAGAGCTGCAAAGCACTGACAGCCAGTGTGAGGACAAACCTCTTAATACTGCAGAATGAAAGCGCATTGTACTCCTTTTGAGTCCTTCCTGCACATCCGTCCTCTTCAGGAGCACATTAAGGCTGGGAAGCTCAGTACCAGACGAGGCGTACATGCTCCTGTGCCATCCCTGTGCCCAGATACCTCCTGCCCTTGGCTGCAGGGAGAGACAGAGAGCTGGGATGGGCCTGAAGTGCAAGCAGAGGGCAAATCTACCAGGAAGAGCCAAACACTGGCTCTCACAGCACAGGGAAAGGATGTGTGTCCCATCCAGAGTGTGCCATAGGGCCCTGCCAGCAGCTGCTTCCCCTTACCAGGCAGCTCCTTCACATTGCTTGGCTTCCAGCAGGAGCTTCCGTTCTTCATCATTAGAGAACAGCACTCCCTCACAGTGCACGGCCTCATCCCCACCAGCATGGATGGAATCAGTCCCCGACAGCCTGAGGGCGACCTGCTGCTCCTTGGCTACGGACAAAAAGGGAGAAGTTACGGTTTTCACTTTTGGAGTTCAATTACTCCCAGTTAAAACTAATGATTTACTTTTTTTTTTTCTGCACCAACAGAAAAGTTGGTCTAGCTAGGCACTTTTTTGAAAAAAATCTCTAACCATCACGTTGGTGCCTCGTCTTAAACTTTCTGTACACTCAGCACTACCACGTAACAAATGCATACGAAGTTACAGCACATCAGCACTCGAGGCTGCCATCTAACCGGTGAGACGCGTTCGGAAGGTCTCTGTCTTCCCCGTCACTTACATGACAGATCTCAACTGCCGAGATAGCTTGTCATCTGGGTGAACGAACGAATGAGGAACAGACCGGCTCCGTTTGTCATTATCACCTCTTTTATTGCCGTGTAGCGCGAGGCTCCAGCGGGCACGGAGGCGAGGACAGCAGCCCCCGCTGCGGCGGGAGGGGTCGGGCCGGCAGCGCTGCAGGGCCGCGGGCGGGCACCAGGAGGAGCTGCCGCCCCGCACTGCCGCGCTGCTGCTGCCGCTGCCCCCCCCGCCGCTGGCTTCAGCGAGGGGCTCCTGAGCCGCCCAGCCGCTCCGAGGTCCGGCTGTGCCCGGGTCGCCGCCACGGGACAAGGACAGGCGATGCTCGGGGTGCAGGAGCACTGGGCAGCCGCACCAGGAGCGCGCAGACAGCAGCTGCCGCGTTCTCAGAATCATTAAGTTTGGAAAAGACTTCTAAGATCATCTAGTCCAATTGGCAGTCCATCCCCACCGTGCCCCTCAGTGCCACGTCTCCCCGGACCCTGAGGCTGTAGAGACACCAACTGGCGATTTGACACCAAATTCAGGACAGAGGAGTGCACTCAGGACTGCCTTCCCAAAGGAGCCAAGCTCACCAGCTGCTCCCTCAGCAGGAGGCCAGGGCCCTGGCGCAGACAGTGACTGCAGCAGCATGAGCCAGGGATGGCATTTTGTGGTGCCTGCCAGTGCTGTGGTGCTGGCCCCACAGAGCCCTGCGCCCACATTCAAAGCAGGGCTCCCATCCCTCCACACGTTGGTCATACTGAAAGGCCTGTTTAAAGCCACTTGTCCCAGGAATCCCACTCCCCGTTCATCACTGCCCCTCCACACCCACAGCCAGGCTGGTGCCCCCAGGCTTTCACAGCTGTTCTGTTCTCTCTCTGGCACTGCCTTTATAGATTATAGGAAAAGTGGGTATAAGTTTGCGTGTCCAGTGAAATAAGCAGAAAGTCACACACTGCATGCACCGCACAAGCAGCAGCACATATCATTTCAGCGTCCTTGCTCCTGCATGGCTCCATTTCTCCTGCCCTGCTTGCCCTTCAGCAGTCCCTCTGAGCCCGCAGCCTTTCATCTTCTGTTCTTTCAGACCCAGTACAGGTTTCCATGGCCCTGCGCGCAGCCTAACACAGCCCGGCCACTGTGCTTCCAGAAAAAGTCATGTCAGTATGACTGAGAAATGAGGAGCCTGCCTCGCACTTGTTTCCAGTCATATGAAGAACTCCTCCTCTTCCTCCTCGGGCCTGGTTCCAGGGCTGGCTCTCCATGTTTGCACGTGGGAGCCCAGAGCCCCGTGCCTCGTTCCTTTCCTCCTGTTGGCCACAGAAGATGGCAGCTGCGCACAGTGCGGGGCAGTGCAGGCCGTGCCCAGCACCCATGGCTGCAGAAGGCCGTGCTGCAGCGAGCAGAGACAGCCCACAGTTCTGCCCACAGCCAGCCCCGTGTCCACATTGGTTTCTGCTGCTGGCCGGCACGGCCAGCCCTCCTGCTGCCTGCTTGTGAGCATGTGGTGGGAGGGCACTGCAGCACCCCAGGAAGAGCCGAGGAGGGCCTGGCCTGGCATGGATGTCACTCTGCCCCTCGAGGCCCAGGCCTGCTGGCCTCCCTGCTCAGCGCTGCGCAGAGCAATGGGGAGAGGAGCTGTGCTGGGGCTGCGCGGCAGTCCTTCAACACCGACAGCACTGCGCCGGTTGGGAAGCCCAGTGTTTGTTTCATTCTGTTTGGAGCTGTTCTGCACCTGTTGAGGAAAGGTAGAGAGAACTCCCTTAAAACACGGTGCTAGCTTTACTCAGGCAACAGCACTCTGAGCCCCCTGCGATGGGAGGCGCTTGGAGCCACTGAAAGCACTCAGGACTCCAGCCATCCCTGAACAGGTCCATGGGTGACACTGAACTGGTGGGAGGCACATGCTGAGGCTGTCCTGGAGAGAGGTGTGCAGGCAGAGCAGCACAAAAGTAGGCCAAACAGAATAGGCAGGCTGATTTGTAATAATGATCTCACCAAGAATGGGAAATAAAGAAAACAGGACATGTTTAAATAATGTAGATATCCAAATAAAAATATCTAAATAGCAACCCAAGAGGCCAGAGGTGGGAGGAGTTGTTACAAAGCAAAGAGCACACAGCTGAACTTCCCTCTGCTCCGTGTATAGCACAGTGAGCACCACCAAGGCACTGTCTTTGTCCAGTTTGATTGGTGCTCACACACTCTCAGGGCTGCGCACCACAGCAGAAAGGAGATGACTTTCCCATGGCATTTATTTAGCCCTTTTACCCAACAGCAATTACAAAACTACTGTGAGTGATGTTGCATCAGCTCTGTACTTGCAAAACACCTGGTTTGGGATGGTACAGTGCTAAAACTTGGCTTTCAGAAGCATTTATAAGGTCACATCAGAAAGAACAGGCTGCTACTATCATCTGATTTAGGCAGGAAAGGGAAAAGGCGAATTCAGTGGCTCAAAAAAAGTACTAATACTTTCTACTTCAGGCACTAGCAATATGGAAGCATTCTAAGGATCTGTGCTCACATTTATCAATGACATCATAGCACTGGAAGGTGATTGCTGAGTTCATGAATTAAAAACAAAATATGGACAAGCAAAGCCTTGATTTCCATTTTGAATCATTCCTGCTCTTTGCTGGAATAAAAAAAAAAAAAAGAAAAGAAAAAGGCATCTTGTCTGCAAGCACCATGCACACACATACCTGAAGCAGAATTTTATTTCCTTCATAGTCTTGTGTTTGCCACCTGGTCCTGCTGATAGGAATGCATGGATTGGGCAGGAGAGGCACCAGCTGCCCCATTTCTTGCACCTTGAACTGCAAAAGTGATGACTCCTTAGGCTCAGCAGCCATCCCAATGGGCAGCTGCTTCAGGCAGAGCTGGACAGCAATAGTTTTAGTGGCATATAGCACGAAGACACAGAAATTGCTTTTCCGGATGGTTGCTTCTTTCCGTAGGATCATCTCGTACAGCCCTACTGCATCATCATAGTTATCAAAGCTGCAGTAGAGGGTCACACGCAGGATTTCGGGGCTGCAGCCCACCCGCCGGATGCCCCACACAGGCATCTGGTCATCCAGGCCATAGAAGTCCTGGGGAGCTGGTGTGTGGGGATGACTTCGTGCCCAGGTCGGGACACGCTGGTAGTGCCAGGGTGGGTGCTGGAGGAGATCCTGGACCTGGAGAATCCGCTCTTCTCCCAGGTCCTCCTGCAGAAAAAGGAAGACAGATATCCCAGGAAAGCTGCAGTTTCTCCTTTGGTACCTCTCATAGTATTTCAGTGGAGCAACTCGCTCAGACACAAAGAAAAGCCGAACATCTGGGCAGATCCACTCCATGAGCCGATCCAGAGCTTGCTGCAGAAACGCCGAGTATCCTGAGTTGGCGAGAAGATGCACAGTCATCAGAGGCTCTGCTCTGTCACCCATCGCAAAGCTTCTCTTCAACAAACAAAACCAAAGCAAAAACAGGAGTTTCCTCCTGCAGTGTTTGGAGTGGCAGCAATGCAGGCACTGCACTGAGGCAGAGAAAGAACACGATCACTCAGAAGCTTTGCAACAACCCAGTGAGGTGACAGGATTGCACACAAGTGCATGAGGCTGGAAAGTGTGCCATGGCGCGACGGGACCAGCCCCAGTTTGCTCACGTCACATCAGAGCTCAGATGCAGATGCAAATCTGACCCAGCAGCATGACCCAGATCTGGTCACCGGGTGCACACAGCCGAGGTGTTGAAGCACTGCTGTGCTGCAGTGGCTCTGTCCCACCTGGAGCAGGGTGGTGGAGGGCTGAAGCAGGAGAGCAGTCACTCTCCCACAGGCATACATCTCCTGATTCTTGCCTGTGTGAAAACCTCAGCGTGTGTTCCTGCACTTCAGCTTGCTGATCTCCCCGAGTCACACCCTTCTGGGGCACACAGATAAGCTATTATTTAAAAACAAGGAAGGAAAGCAGACTAACAAAGGGAAAAAAAACCCGTGTGAACGGGAGAGATAACAATGAAGGCCCATATGAATTGGCTCCAGGCACTGCAGGAGAATCCCAGGCTCAGGGCTGTGCACCTCGTGGGGCAGCAACTTGCTGTGCAGAAATCCCAGTGTGTGGAAGGGTCTGCTATTTAGAATGCTGAACTTGGACTTTTCCCCTCAGCCCCCCCCCTTTTTTTGGAAATTACATACAGCCCTAGCTTTATGTGTACCTGAAGAAAATCTCCAGGGTCTAATGGTACAAGGATCTGTGCTTCACATTTCTGTTATTTAAAGATCGCACTCAGTTATAGAAATACAGCCATAAGACCAAAGTACAGTAAGAACTTAAAAGTTCAGCTTGTACTGACACAGACAAAGCTACCTGCAGCACTTCCAACAAGTAGTAACTGTTGGGACAGAGACAAAAATATCCAACCGCTGGACAATCACAGGAAGAGCGAGGGCTATGAGTGTTCAATACATTAAATGCTGTAAATGAGCACTGAACAACACAGAGTATTACTAAAATATAGAAAAAGGAAGTGATTCATCAACTCTTTGCTGCAGCGAAGAATACAAAGAGGCAGGCAGTCGTCTGCCTTCCTGCGGGTGAAAAAAATAGCAATTCTGCTTGTGCAAGGAAAACCAAATGTCAGAGCTCGTCAGGACTGAGCTGGGAGTGGGCAGCAAGGTGATCACTGTCCATGGCAGTGCAGGCAGGGACACCTGTGTGGCCAAGTGGCACCAGCCCTGCGGGTACCTCGTGGGGACACTGCGAGGTGACAGGGCAGGAAACTATGGAGAGCAGGAATGATGGGATGGACATCACCAGCTCTACCTCTGTGCTCACGTGGTGGGATCCCAATCTGCTGCAGGGTGAGCTGCTTGCTTCCCCAGGCATTTCCTAGCACTGTGTGCCCAATGCAGTCCCATCAATCACCAGACCTGCACTGCTCTTTCACCCCCATTTCCCTGCTCACATCACATCGCCCTGGCTGTTCTGCAGGGCAGCAGCAGTGCAGGGGGAAAATGGCAGCGCCTGTAATATGAATGCTCACAGGGCAGCCACAGAGTGAGGGCTGTGAGCTGGGATGAGGGCAGCTCAGGGATGCTGCAGACAGCAAGTCCCACTCCAGCTCCCAGCACAGCTGGTGGGAGCCAATCTGGTTTCCAGGTGGGCCCACAGAGACCGCAGAAGGGCACTGGCAATCTCTCCTTCACAGGCTGAAGTCTGAACTAGCCCTGAATGTGAGCAGCTCCTGCCTTTCTCTCTGCTTCCCCTTCCCCCAGCTTTCCAGTCTGGCTGCCAAGCGGAAAAGCACATCATTCACTGTGACCTACCCAGCATGCCAAGAAAGATTGCTGTAAGAGATTAGGAAAACAGCAGCTCAGCCCTATGTGAAAAATCAGCCTGCACTCACAGAACGGCCCGGAACACCATCCGCACATGGCAGCGACAGGCAGCACGGTACAGGGTACAGCGTGCTGTGGAGAGCTGACCTGGTAAAAGCATGTGAGAGACGTACTGACCGCCAGCACAAGCATCAGTAGGCCCAGCATAAATAGATGCCCAATGCGAACAGCCAGCAAGTACTGTATTGTGTGAGCATCAGTCTGTGATATGTTTCAAGTCCTATGGTGCAAGGACACAGCAGAACTGTAACTCCTTTCCCTAATGAGCTCTTTGATTGCTCCCAGCCCTCTGAGGTGCTGAGCCCTTCACTCCAGCTGACACCCAAGGACTGATGACGCACCACAGGATTTATTAAGTTCATTGTAACTTCCGTAACGAAGCAACATGGCAAGGTTTCAGGCACTGCACACTGTAGGTAATTAACTTCCAGGAGGGCGACTGAATTACTTCAGCATCTCAGGAGCAGGCCTCATTAAATCCAGGCACTGTCTTGGGCTCATTAGCTTTTAAGAGATTTTTTTTTTTTCCTGCCAATTTCAATTTCTTCCTACACTGAGGCCAATGACAGTTATCGACAGCAGCACCAAGACAAAAAGCAGAAGTAGGGCCCTACCTGAGCACTATAAGCTGTGCAGTCTGCCTCCTGCCCCAAGTGCTGTGCCCCCAAATTCATTATTTCTGAGGAAAGTAAAACCACAGCGGCCAGAGGAGGAAAGCAGGCTGACCTACTGCACTTACAAAAGGGAACTTCTCTCCCAAGTAGTCCTTAATTCTCCTTTTTAACGAGCTAGTAGAGAGGATCTCTACTAGCTCATCACACACAGCAAATCAGAATCCAAGCAGAAAACAGGACAAAAATGGAGCCATATCCAGAGCAGGAAGGGGAAGGCCGGCAGGGCCACAGCTCCTCCTGTCAGTGGGACACAGCAACTCAAGGCTCAGCCTTCAGCAAGGCAGTGCCAGGCTTTCAAAGTGCACAAGAGATCAAACAAAAAGGAGTTTCCTGTGCTTCCTCCTGTGGCAGAGGGGGAACAGGCAGCCTCAGCAATGCACAGACACATCGGATCTGGCGAGTTATGTAAGGAGCTTACATTCAGCACGGCTGAAGGTGATTCAAGAGAAGCCCTCGCAAGGCCAGCAGCAGACATGAGCAGAGACCACACCGCACTGGGTGCTGATGAACGAGTGGCCAGGAGACAGGATTTCTCTCTCTGGACTCATAGAAGCTCACCTGGGCAAACTTAGACGTATCTCCATGTTCACACTCACCCGCTGTGATGCCAGGTGTCCTCTTCAGCATTTAGCCTGTGGTGTGCGGGTATCAGCTCCTCCAGCAGAGGGATGGCAGGCATCAGAGGCGTGCATTTGGAAATGCAGGCAAAGGAGCCACAGCCACTGCTTTGCTCTGAAGAGCTTAGCATGCTGAATCAAGTTTTGTATTTGTTACAGCAGAAAGCAAAGGTTGCAGCCTTTTTCAACAGATATGTTTCCAGCACAGCTGAGACCTCACTATTCTCTCTATTCCTTTTTTTCTCTTGACATTTTAGTAAAATGCTGTCCGTTAAAAACTTGGCTTCATTTCAAAGTTTGAGGAATTTGTTAGATGTAAATACAATGGCAGGCTACTTGAAGCAAGACCCAGAGCTGTGTCTTTCATAGCATAAATACAAAGTGATCACAGCTGAGGCTTTAGATACCAACCTAATGAAATTCATAAATAACCAAGATTAAAATAAAGGTTAAAAAAGCAAACCGACCAACCAAGGAACAATAATGCTAACAGCCCACTTGGACAGACAGCATAACTGTCCTGGATAAGACCACATCTACACTGCACTTTTATAGCACAATTCTTACTGCAGCTAACAAAAGGCTTTAAATGCAGAATCGGTGACTTGAAAACAACAAGTTATATCCTACCATTTGGAACAGTGTTCTCAGTTTTTTTTTATATATTATTTGTCAGTTCCTTGTTAAAACCTCATCTCTCCCTTGCTCTTCCTTTTCACATCCCAGAAAAGGAGCTTAAACACGTGTTTCAGACTGATCACACTGATTATCTCATTTACTGAGACACCAGAATCACTAACAGAAAACTTTCATACAGAAAAAACAACACCTCACATGCTACTTCGAGCCTAGCTCTGGGCTGGCAAATCCTCCTCCTAACCCTGAATTGTTTCTAAGAACTGGAAGCTAATGCTCAGAGCCCACCTCACCTTTAACCACTGTGATAAATAAGAGTCAAGGAGCTGCAGAACAAGCTGGGAAGGTTCTAGACAGTCTTGGACAGGCAACAGACTGCTCACAAGGAGTCCCATTTTCTGTTGCTTTTGACAAGAAACCCTCTGTGCAAGCTCACCACCCAAACCACACATCTTAACAGGCTACATGACTGTATACATACCACCTACCAGGTACCATGCTAGCTGCTTATGATACGTGAATAAAAAGATTTCAGTCATCCAAAATACTTCATTCAGTGCTTTTGTTGTTACCATGGTACATGAGTATAATCTCAACTCTTTAAAATGAACTTGTGTATATGTACCTTCCAATATGTATAAAACTTGAAGTCTACTTTTCATTTTAAAACTTTTGAAAATTAAAACTACACGTTAATAGGTTGTTACAGCATTTACGTGTACATTAACTCAAGGAAAGAAAACTTACAACTAATTACCCTCATAAATGTGATCATGCAAACCTATTAATGAGCTTTTAACTAAGTTACAAGTTTAAAGGCGAACTAAGAAAGACCAAAAGTAAAATCAGGTAAGGAGCAGCAAAATTCTACTATGGAATCTAAAAGAAATCTCACTAATCCTAGAATCATATCATTCTTTAATGTACACAAACAATGTAAAGGCAAAGGCATCAAACTCACCTTAAGCAGAGTCACAGTGATACCGTGTTCAGATGCGTCTGATCAAAGTTTTCACATTTCCATCTTGAACTCCTTGGAACTGTGATCTGATTGTAATGGTAAAGACATTTCTAAAAGGTGACTTCAGTAGAAGTCCCTTCCTGAACATTTAGTGTCTCCAAAATTCTATTAAACTTGAAATGGAAATGATATTCTGGTATTTGTTACTGAAATAGCTATCACCATCTGTTATTCCTTTAGCAACTCTAGCGTGCAAAGCTGGCCAAAAATTAAGATAAAAAAATCAGACCCATCCACCCCTTAAACATAGCTAGACAGCTGTTCATCTAACATTCAGGCTTGTGACATCTAACTTCACACTTGCCAAGAGCAAAGCAATCAGAGGCAGAAAGCTTCAGCTGATGCACATAAAATTGTAACTGCAGCACAAAGTCCAAATGTCATGGATAGCAATGTTAGTATCTCTAAACCACAGTGGAAAAGGCTATGAACTCACTCCTTCCTGAAAAGCACAAAAGAAAGCATTAAAACAAAACTGTCACATGAATGCTATTAAGGACTAAGATACACAGAAAAGAAAGCCTTCATACCAAGGCATGGAAGAACTAGTTACAATTTTAGGAAGACCTTAAGACACAATCCAAAACTAGAGTGGCTAACCAATTAGTAGTTTTCTAATGTCACTAGAAATAGACATACAGACATTTTAATAATTGCCCCCAAATTCATTTTAGAAAATCTGATGACATAGCTGGATTCTTCATGAACAGTAGCAAGTTAAGCTCCTCGTTGGTTACCTTCCTTCTACTTAATTGAAAGTAAATCATGAGTTAGGGAAAAGTCTTATTTTTATTTAGTAAACTTCAATAAAGCCTTTATAAAAAAAGACAAAACAGGCCTCAGAATAAATCGTGCTGAAACCATCCCAATCCCAGGCCTCCTCCATAGAAGCAACCCACCACTGAACAACAGCCAGGCTTTTCATCTTAACAGGCTGCAGAGAGGGGCGAAACTGGAGGCACGCTATCAGCATTACACTTCAGGTGAATTGCTAACATTACACAACAGTGCATTTGCTTGACATCGCTAATGAAGAAATAATCTGGCAGTACCGTAGTGCTCTACAACCAACTTCCTTTTCGCTTCCTCCAGCTCCACATTTTGGGAAGTCCATCCCCAGTATGTTTCTGTATCTATGGATGAAAACGACGTGAACCAAAACAAAACCAGCATCAAATTAAAACAAATATTTACAGCAGAAAAACTGCGTGGTATGCAATCTGCATTGCAATGTCAGAAAAACAGTTTAATAAAAACTCTGCAGTACAATGCACGCTTCAAACAAATTCTATGAGAATAATAGTGCCACTGAACTGCAATTTTAAATCTATTTTTGCAGCATGCTGACAAAAAGGATAAAAGCTTTGGTTTAAGAACTGAAAGTTTCATTATAGTAACATTTTTTTATTGCATGATTAAAATGCATTTCTAAAAGCAAATAGTGCACACTGGCTTCACTTTAATCTCCTCAAATACGTACTTATGATGGGAAACCCTGGGGCTACAGATCCATCTACAGTATTAACTGACAAAATATAATCCCAGTATGCTTCCCCAGAGGACAGTATTTAGTTTCAAATATTGCCATCCCTGTACTCTAACACACTTGAATTGTTTGTGTACACTAGATCCATTTATTTTAAAATTTTGTCTACATTTAGTGAAATAAAAACATCGCCCTGTACAATCCACCATCAGCAGTGAGTACAACAGCAAAAATTATTATACAGTTTATACACACTAATATCTTTTCCTTTTTCCTATGAAGAAACCAGAACAAATCTAGAGATAATTTAGAAGGACTCATATTACAGAAGGGAAAGTCAAAATTATCATGGCCTTTTCTGAGCCCCCAGTAGTTGCTGATTCATGTTGTTCAAACAACGAGTGCAGCTGGAAGAGTGAAACATGCTCAAGTCGTATTCTCGGGTCTCCAAAAGGTTACCAAATATTTAAATTAAACATGGCTAGTTAAAGAAACATTTGAAGCAGAGCACTATAACTGGGAATTCTGTCTTACCAGTTGTGGTTGTTCTTTTAACCCAACTTATACAATGCGCCAAGTGCTAAGCAACACTACAGAAACACGTTTACATCAACACTGAAGATCTGGGGAAATGAAATTCCAACAATTTTATTTTTTTAATGAGCTGTATTTTCTAAATTTGTTTTTATTTTTCTGTTTTCATACAGTATTGAAAACAAACGCGGCACATTCACATTTTCCCAAAGAATTGTAAGGATGATCTCTACAGGGATAACGTTGAAAAGCCTGAAGCTCAATCAATTCATGTTGAAAACTCTCAAAAGGAGTAAAAGGCTTGATCTGAATGGTCTAGAACATGTATTGTAATTTAATAGAAGAGATGGTCGTCTTAATATTAATGATTTAAAAGAACTTCCCAGTTCATGCGAAGAGTACAGTCCAAGAGTAAATCAAACTTTCTGAACGCATTTTATGCTACGTAAGTGTATACTTTGCGATCCTCAGGTGTTCGTGCCAAATATTCTCTCTCAATAAGTCCTTCAATACGTTTTTTAATAACAACTGGACTTGGTAAGAATCGGGCCTTCAGCTGCTGAGTTACCTAAAACATAATGTTAAAAACAATAACATAAAATTACAGGTCAAGCAAAATCATTAAGTATCTTAACTGATCAAAGTAATCAGAAAGTTGCACAGAGGCGGGGCTGGCTACAACCATGAAACAACAATCCATCTTCACTCTCCCACCATTTTTTCCCTTCGGCTGCCTGCTCAATTTTGAGAGAGGAATGGTCAACCTGGAGACACTCAATTTCACAACCATGGAAGAGTGCAAGAGTGGAAAGCACTTCCCATTGGCAAAGGTGTCAGAACTCAATGAGCACTCTCACTCTTTCTCTGCAGACCTTGAAACTTTCAATCTTGGACCCAACAGTTAGCAACAAGACAAAAACAGAAAATAAGTCATGCTAAGCACAGTGGTTTTCATTGCCAATTGGTACTTAAGGAATATGATGACATATTAATAGCAGTAAAGGGAGGAAGGAAAATCAGATGCACATGAGTACAGGGTATGGATTTAGGTGTCTTTAGATAAATGGGAAAAACAGGATGGATTAATCACAATCTGTCAAAAACCCTCCAAAACCATGTTAGACTTGTGTAACTTCCAATGGAATCACAAAAGCAATTCTGAAGTCCATGCTAAAACTATGTACAAACATACCTCTGCTACTAGCACATTGTGCTGCATCTTCTTTCTAGATTTCATTATCCGAACTATAGCAGCTTCTATCTCATGCTTTCTGTCATCGTCTACTTTCTGCCTTGTTTCTTTCCTTTCTGGATCAGATTCTCCTTGTTTGGCAGCAACTGAAAGGAAAAAAAAGAAAGAGAACAAAGTATCTTAGCAAAGTTAAAATTAACACTGTGTAAGCTTTAGCTCTGCTATTTATTTCGTTCAGAAATCAAATGCTTTCCCAAGTTTTGACATCCTCAAACTCATTTGTTTATGAAAAGCAGCCAGATGAACATATTAGCATTTTCTGGCATATTTTGATAGCAACTGACAAGGTAGCAATCTATTATTCAATTATTGCTATGTTAAAATTTTAGCAGTACTCAGACCTGCTTACAGGCACAACCACCCCTATGCTCCCATTAAATATTTTTCTCTTTAAAGAAATTCGTTAATTAAAACAGACAAATGATTCAAAGCTTTCTTCATAAACTATTTAAATACTTAAGAAGTTCCTCAGTCAGATGAAACAGTCCAACCTTCTCTATCCTTTTCATCTCAGCTGTTTCACCCTTGTATTCTGTTCTCTTCTACTTACGCTTTGTTCCTGCCCTTCTCTCACCTTTTCACCCCAGTATCATCATAAACAATCCCTTTTCCCACACTGCCCCCACTACCTGTCTCCCTCCCATACTTCACTCAAAAGCCCCAAGTATTTATTGGTTCTGAAGAGGTCTACATTAAAAGTCATCTTTGTAAGAGAAACAAAACCAGAAGTATCAAATTTGCTCTTAAACCGTCTTGAACTCCAAACTATATTCTCCTACCCCAGAAATTTATGAAACAATAAAGCAGAACTACACCAAAATTCCGACAGTTGTCACAGACTCCTGTTCAATTCTGCCAGTGATGTTTTGGGCCCTGATCAGAGAGATCATGGCCCTTCATTTGGCTGCTGCACTCTTGCTCACCAGAGAAATTCTCCAGATGTGGTGAGCATGCTGAGAGCACAGCACTGTGCATGCATATGAGGACAGCCCAGCTATTGCTCCAGCAGCAGGATATACTCAGTGTAACAACATACTAATATGTTGTTACATATTATATACATAATAACGGTATGCAGCCCTGGATTTACACACTTACATCCCAGGACATCGCAGGCTAAACAGAAGCCCAAAGCTGCATTATGCACAGCAAACAGCACATGAATTCCAGCACTGCATGAAAAGACAACTAAAATGCCAATAATGGCGTGTATTTTACGTACCAAGACCCATAGCTTCAGAAAATCTTTGATGAACTAAAATTACAAAGTTATTTTGCAAAATACTTGGAAGAGCATCTACAGCAGTACTACAAGTCAGAAAATATTTCCAGAGAGCTTTCTGAACTAAAGATACCAGTATGACTTATGTGTAACATAAACCAGCTCTTCACTGAGCTGGTAAAGCTGTGTCACGCCAATCAGTTGCTCTCATTTGTTAACTCCACTCAAATCATGGCCTAAAGACACTGCAGCTAACTGCTGTATGGAAATAAACTCTGCTATGTCATGTGATAAAGTTTTTACTCAATTTCACAGCAGTACAACAATTTACACACCTGAGGCTATCTTCTTTTTTTATGAATCAGTCAGTAGCCCAATATTTTTAATTTTACTACTCAAATTTCTCTTTTAACATTTCCTTTTATCTTAAAAGGAACTACACACTTTGAAAAGCAGAAGGCTTATTAACTATCACTTCCACACTTCCATTTTAAAATTCTTGTTTGGATGCAACTGGAATCACAGATTTACCAAATCATAGAATACCTCAAGTTGGAAAAGACCTATTAGGATTGAATCCAACTCCTGGCTCCACAAGCATCAACAACAAAGAAATACGACTTGTTTCCTTCTGCTCCTACGGACATCAAGCTTACAAAATAACATTCTAAGACAAAACACTTTAAAGACAAGATAATATAAAAAGCCACTTACCTGTCTGAATCTTCACTCTGTGTAGTTTAGATGTGAACTGATCATTCACTGTAAATATATGTCCATTTTCTATTTCTTTCGATTTGGGCTCTTTTGTGAGAACACGCTGTGTTGGTTTGCCACACGCAAGGGACTGTAGGGCTCTGACCAGTTCTCTTTCAGGGATGTCAGTTTCTTGTTGAATTTCCTGAAGAAAAACATCCTCATCAGTTTACAGCTAGTGCAGAACTAAGTATCACATTTTGCAGACAACAGCAGTGACTGCTTAAAACATCCATCCTTCAAGTCCATAAAGCAGCAATCACAAGTTAGTAAGCAAAGTATATTGGATGCAGAGCGATGTCTTCATATGCTTTAGGGGAAGGCTTCTCCAAATTTAACTCAGTCAATGAGCTCACATTCGTTAGAAGTTCATTATTAGACTTTTAGAAACTGCAAACATCTCCAGTTCACATTCCCATTCAGACTCTTAAGGGACACCTGGCAGCTGAAGACTAAACTACCAGACAGAAAAACAGTCGTCGTACATGTAATTGCCACCAGAACTGCCACTTCACCAGCTTCCCCATCACCTGATCCAAGAGCAAAACCCAGCTCTTCTGTTGTCCACCTACACTCCCCATTCTCATGGCACACAAGTCAAACTCAAAACAACCGCAACATCCCTCCGTGCTTAAGAGGCAGAACAGAACTTGTACAGAACTTCAGTTCTTTGAACAGTGATCAGAAAGCCAAGCTTCAGAGTACAGCCGAGTTCTATCATGTTTATTTCTTCTGTGCACTCAGATTTTATTGTAATGGTCAAAATAATCCTCCTGTGGTCATACACCGCTGAGAACAAGTAATATTTTTCATATACTGGCTGCCAAGACTGTCATTAACTGCAAAGCATTTCCCATTCAGCATCTCACAACCAGATCTCAGCAAAGCTCGGACAGATAACATGCCTCTATTTTCCAACTATGCACCCAATATCCCATGTGTAATGATAACTTTATTTGATGTCAAACTTTTTTTGCACATCTTTTTAAATTGCTTTGAATGAGCTAGAAATTCCAGAAGTCTAACATGACCAAATCTCACTATTTTTGATATTTACTGCCTGTGGGTGATTGGAAAACATTAAGTATTCTTAAGAGTATTCTTAGAAGAGTACATTCAGAAATATTCACAGTATTTGAAGTGATGTGTACCCACAGTTAAATTATTTGCTGACATCAACAATGCCTTTTCACAAGCAACTCAAACTATTTATCTGTTGCTTTACTTAAAACAATTGTCACAATTTTTTT